TGGTTTGCTCCCTGAAAGCATTGGGAGCAGCTTTTTGGGACCCGGATTAGTTCTCTGGGCCGTCAAGGGGCAGGACGTCTGGTAGCCGCTCAGGACTACAAGTCCCAGAAGGCTTTTTGGCTGGAAGCCCCGTTCCTCTGCCCCGAATGGTGGCCTCCCTGATTGGTCAGAAGGCCAGGAAAGGGTGGGACTTATGCCCGCCCTTGGCACTGATTGGTTGGTGGGCCTGTTTAAGGTCATGTGGCTGGGGTGATTGTCGCCATTCCAGCCTGGCTCTCTCCACCCTCCCTCTTTAGTTGGGTTTACAGGTTTATGTATGCTGTCACAACTTTTCAGGGGTGGTAGCATGGGCTGTGGATGTGGTGGACATGGTTTCCTGTACTGTGAAGCACAGGATTGGGAGTCCCAAGGGGTACTGGGAGTAATGAGGTGTTGTCATTGCAGGGGCACCCTCTGAACAACATCCCCCGGTGACAAAGGGGACAAAGGGGAAAAGATGCAAACATATGATCAGTTGGCTACCCCTTCTGTCATCCCGAAGCCCGGACGTGACCAGGCAGTTGGTTCATTTAGCAACAGGCAGGTTGGTTGATGCCAGATCCAGACCCATGCATTTGAGCCAACCCTGTCATCTGTATTCAGTAAAGTTGTGGCCTTTTCCTGTCAACTGTGTGTCCTGGTGTTTCCTTCCTGCGACATCTCACCTTCACCTGCAATACGTGGTCAAGCCTGGTCTCCTGACAGACTGGTCACTGCTCAGATCAGAAGGTCACATCAGAAGAAGCAAATCTAGGGAGTGCAGCAGTTAAAATCAGTGAGTGTAGACATAAAATAATGGGATTTAGGCTGCATCCACACTGAATAAATAATCCAGGTTGACACTACTTTAACTGCAGTTGGCACAGTGCTGTGGAATTATGAAAATTGTAGTTTCGTGAGATATTTAGCCTTCTCCGTCAGAGAGTGCTAGTGACACAAAAAACTACACTTCCCAGAATTCTGTAGCATTGAGCCATGGCAGTTAAAGTGCCACGCAGTACGGATGCAGCCTTATTCAGCAAACACCTGGGCTGATGTGATAAGAGTGAAATGCATGTCTCTTCAAAACTTTACCAAATTTGACTTAAGCCTAGTTGTTAATCTTAATTAGAATTGAATAATTTTATTTACATATACTCTACATAGTGATTAGTATATATGATCACAGGGTGAGCGAGAGAACTCAAGTTCTTTGGAGATGGCTACAAAATACATTTCTGTAGTATACACTGCTAAGTGTCATCTTTCACTTCCTCTGATTTGTGCAGAGCAGAACTGACAGTAGTAAAAATTCAAATAGTGATCTACAGAGTTATGCTAGATTTCTGGCTAAAAGTAGCCATTAGTGAGCCGTAGTGTCTTCTTCAATTCTTTTAAGGATTGCTTTTGAGGAAATGAAAAATTACTTTTGGCAGAGATACCTTTCCTGTCTTGTGTTAAAACTGGGCGTTTCTGAACCCTGTATAAAGAGCACCTTTTTATTCAAACCCCCAGCAATTTTACACAAAACCCCCACATTTGCTTTCCGAATGATGGTCTGCACAAACTGTGGCTGCATGTGGTTTGCACAAACCCCCATACCGTTCTTGCAAATAACAAACAAATCCATATGCATTTCTGCCCAGAATAATTTCCCACAACACTCCAAGGTGTGTGAATACCAGGTGAGAACTGCACAAAAATGTTTGTTTTCTCTGCAGCAGAGAGATAACTGGTGATTATTCATCCTCACTTGTAATAGTGAAATACTTGCTTAATAATAGCCTCAAGTCAGGACCAGATTATGATAGTTAAAACATTTTGTTTAATTAGTTGTCAGACAATGCTTGGATTTTTAAAAATGGATTTAAAAATTGTTTTGATCCTTTTCCAACCATTTCTGTTGTGCACTGTTTTGGAAGCTATAGAAATCTGGGGAACAGTAATAGCTTTATTACATAAATAAATACTTTTGGAAATTTCCTCTGGATATTTTTAAAATAAGTAAATAATTGCTTAATTAAAACCCACAGAGTTAAATGGGAAATGATCACAACATTTCTGAGTAATAAATTAAGACAATGTAGTTTGGTCTGCTCTCTGCAAATTGACATGCTGTAGGGTAGGCAATACAAAAGTCACAGTATGGAATCCCTCTCCTCCCTTTAGAGAAAAAATATATTCCATTACCGTTATATATGGCATGATCAGCAGTTTCAGAATAAGACAGGAGAAACTTTAATGATTGTCACAGTTGGTCTTCTAGCCTTTCTAACTTGTGCACACACCACAAAAATTACTTGTTAAATATAATACTACCTAAGAAAAGAATAGCTCAAGAAATTTTTAAACTTTCAGCAATGTGTCATCAATTATTGTTCCATGATTTCATATTTGTCATTTTTATATACTTTTGTTTGTGGAAAGTTTTGACAAGGTGCTCTTTTTAACATGATTTGTAGCAACTTTCTTCCTTATTGTTAGTTTCACAAGCAGCTTTTGTGCACTATAATTATTTAGCAAGCCCACAACACCCCTATTTGGCCATCTTTTATTAGGCTCATTTAGACAAAACATACGCAAAAATTGCCTTCCTACACAAGTGTCTAATTTATAAGTAGCAATAAATATGCCAGACAGTGGGCCAGATACATTGCTAAGACTTGTAGGCTCTTAATGGCCACAGAGGAGGCCAATGCTGTGAAAATCTTTGCATTTTAAATAATAAAAACGTGGGAGGTAGTTGTCAATGTATTCTGAAACTGTTAGCAAATGGGTTATAAAAATGAAAAAGAAAAGATGGGCCTCAAATCAAAATTAGTAAGGTGTAATTATTTATTATCTAAAACATATATTGTTGTTGTTGTGTACCTTCAAGTCATTTCTGACTTATGGTGGCCTAAGGCGACCCTATCATATTTTTTTCTGGGGCTGTGAATATGTGACTCAGCCAAGGGTTTTCATGGCTGAGCAGGGAATCGAACCCTGATCTCCAGAGTGGTAGTCCATTGTTCAAACCACTACATAATGCTGGCTGTCATAAAAACATACATACCCTTATTAGCCACTTTTTATATCTTCCCTTACCAAACAGTCAGCATCCCTTATGTGTTAGATGTTAGAACAGAATATGGAGAAACAGAATGTTTCCCAATTGGCAAAGGGGTCCAGCAAGACTGCATCCTTTCGCCCTATCTGTTCTACTTATATGCAGAAAATATCATACAAAGAGCAGGCTTGGATACAGAAGATAAAGGCTTGAAGACAGGAAAAAGGAATATCAACAATCTAAGATAGGCAGACAACACCATACTACTAGCAGAAAACAGTCACAGACCTGGAACAATTATTAATGAAATAAATCCAGATCATTAGCATTTCAATGGGTCATTATAAGATCTACTGTTTTCAAACAGTGCTGTCTTTTTCAAATAGGGCTATGAATTTGCTTTTCATTCTTCTTCCCACCACTCTTTTTTTCCTTTTGTATCATGTCTGAATCATCATGTGGCCATGCTGACTGAGGAATTCTTAAGGTTGTAGTACCAGAAATGACTTTATTTTGCTAAAGAGAAAGAGCTGGATGTGCACTGTTTCAGCACTAAAAAGACTTCCCTTTACCATGGATGCCAAATGGTGTAGGGAAATGTGCTCATTGTACACTTGTATGGTTATGCAGCACCTTCAGATAGTGATCTGAGTATATCTGCAGTGCAGAATTTCATTAGAAATCCTGTGGATTGTGTCTGGGGTTTGATCCAGAAGGTGATAACACTCAGTATTTGTTGGGATCCCCAGCCCTGCAAAAGGTGCACAGCCTCAATAATGCTACGATCTTTATTTGCACAAAGCACCCAATAAATTGCTTTACATATGATATGTTCATTGTAGAGATTGAACAGAGTGATAAAATGCAGACTTACCTGACCCCCATGAATGAGCCTTAGTTTTTCCTGATCTATACTACATTATCAAAGGCTTTGCTATAAACCTATAAAACACAGGCTGATTTTCTTCCTAGATTCTTTGTGCACTTCATTGGCTTTGTATGTTTGCTATATGATCTCTAGTGCCTCTTCCTCTAATGAATCCAGCATTTCTCATTTCATTCTTGGTAAAAGTCTTTGTTGTAGAATTTTGAACATCACTGTGGTTGCATGGGGAATTAATGTAATGATCCTGTGGTTACCACAGTCCTTGGTGTCTCCTTCCTTAAGGATTGGAATGTATATTGAACATTTCCAATCTGTGGGCCATTCTTTAGTTTTCCATTGTTTTGTTGATAGATTTTAGTTAGAACTCGAGTAGATTCTGTCTCTATAGTTTGAAGTAGATCTCTTGGTATGCCATCTGTTCCTAGTGATTTATTTCTCCCAAGTGCTCTGAGTACAGTTCCCATTTCACTTTCTAAAATTGTAGGTTCATCTTCAAATAGTTGTTCCTGAAAATAATTTGTCAACCTTTCATCTCCTTTATATGGTTCTGCAGTGTATTGTTTCAACTGTCTTTTTATTTCTACTTGATCATGTAATGTGTTCCCCTGGGGGTTATAAGCATCCCCATTCTTGGTTTAAATTCCTCTTTGATTTTAAATTTGTGAAACAGGTCTTTTGTTCTTCCTTTTTGTTGTCATCTTCTATTTTTCTGCATTTATTATTATAGTACTTCTATTTCCTATAGTAGTTCTCTTTCTTGTTTGATACTTTAATAATAGTTCCCTTTTGTATCTCCCTAAAGCAAAATATTAATGATAATATTTTAATATTAATTGTATATGTTTATTCTAAATATTAAATTTTAAGTGTTTAAGTGTTAATATAATGTTTAATCTTAAAGGTAATATTAATGGTAACTTGTGATGCATTTCTTTTACCCATTGTAACTCAGGCTATTTGTTCATGCCATCAGTGTTTGTGGGATTGTCTATCCAAAGAGTGAAAAAGTACATGTTCAAATGACTAATCAAATATGGATGGAAAAAGACTTTAGTTTAATAGAATACTAAATTAAGATTTATCTATATTCAAAATCTAACTAGTTAAATGGGGAGATTAAGTTCTAAAGTATTATAATCTGTTAATAGTTTTTAATATACGGTATGAATATGGCTGCATATGAATATGGATGCAGAAACAATCCAGTTTGACACCACCTTAATTGCCATGGCTCAGTGCTATGGAATTCTGGTGTCAGACTGTATTATTATTATTATTATTATTATTATTATTATTATTATTATTATTATTATTATTATTATATTTCTGCAGTGTGGGTGCAGCCTAAATGACTGATAACAGTGATATATTTTCAAAGATGTAGCAATGTTAGTTTGTTTTAGTATAAAAAGGCAAGGAAAGAGTAGTGTTATGGTACAGAGTGATTCTTCAGTGCAGAAGAATTAGGCTCTAGCCCATGAAGATTTATACTGAAATAAATCTTAAAGGTGTCACAAGACTCCTCTTTTCTTCATTTTTATAGCAGTACTAAGTATATGTGAATGGTGGGGAGAATGAGTATAAGAATAGATATTCTGGGTCCTGAAGTGTATATATGGCTGATACAGATCACTTTTCAATTATTTTAATAAGAACCACATGGACAAGGTGCAGTTGAAGTACGAGATACTCAGTCTTGGTTATTGATGCTCTGTAGTCCTTAGACTTCCTAATTCCTTCCTTAATTAAAATGTGAGTGCAATGAAGTACTTCAGAGTAAATTAATATTAGTCAAGGGAAGGGAAGGCTCTTCTGTGGAGAACATGAAATAGCTCAGAACTGCTTTTCATATTGTGCAAAGATTGATCTTTCAGTCAATAGTAATTGATTTGTTTGTAAATGTTCTAGGTAAACTATGTGTGAAACTTTAAGCCAGATGTGACTCTTATTAGGGCAACAGTTATATCATAGAGATGAATCAATAGCAGCTTATATAAAATTACAAAAATGTTTAGAATTACAGTTGCATAACCACCAAGTACTGCAGGTATTGAATTGGACTTTTTACTGCTTTGGCTAAGGAAGTTTATGATATATCCTTACATTAGTTTAGTTCTGGTTGCACAGCAGTCCATGACACTCTTGGAAAGAAATGTGTGATGAATCTGGAAGCCTCAGTTCCCTCCAAAGTCTTGCACAGTTATACTGGTGTGATGTTTTGTTACACCAGCTTTCAGCAGGATTCCGGCTATTATTTATATATTGCTAACCTTTTGGTATGGGACAATTGCAATCTAGCTTTAATTAATTTAGTTAGTGAGATTAATTTGGGGGAAATACTCAGCTTGGATATAAGAGGGGGGGTAACATCAGTATGCAGGATCCAGCGCCAGATATACCAGTACTCACTATGGAGACCCAGGCTTGGAGAACTATGTAGCCTTTAGAGTTCTGCAACTTCCTTTCAGGCTGAAGGTCAAACAGGATTAGCACAGACAGACAGACAAGACAGACATGTGTGTGTGTGTGCATTGTCCTCAGTTGTTTATATATTGTCCTTAGTTGTTGTTTTTTTTAAATGGTCTCTATTCCTGCTATGACGGATTCTGCAGAGGGTGGTTCTGCCAGCAGAAAACAATATTACTAAATAAATGTAAAACCATCCTGACCTCTAGACCTTTGCATTTGTTCTTAACAGAAATTTATAAAGAAATTTACTGCTGAATCTTGTACTACTTGTTGATTTTTTTTT